GTGCTTCATACTCGGGACTTCTGGGGCTGTGGACAGGGAAAGGCCATGACAGTGCAGAAGAGGATCCCTAACCCTCTACCAAATCCTCTAGGGACCTTCAAAGCCTGGCTGCATGTAGAAAACATTTTCAGCAGGTGGAGACCCCAGGAGGAGCAGCTGGGGCCGCCCAGCCTCACACTTCTGCTTCCCTGGGAGGATTTTGCTGTGGCTCATATCACTGTGGGAGGGTTCTGATGGTACTGCAGATAGTAATAAGTGGCAGAATCTTGAGCCTGCAGGTCGCTGATGCTGGGAGTGTAATCTGTCCCAGACCCACTGCTGCTGAATCTTGGTGGGACCCCAGAGAACAAACTTCTTAAAGCATGGATCAGCAGCCTAGGAGAGTCCCCTGGTTTCTGCTGATACCAATTTAAGTGATTGTTAACATTGTCACTGGCTCTGCAAATGATGGTGACTGTCTCCAAGAGATGTGGAGAGGGAGGGTAGAACCTGGGTCACCTGGATGTCACACTGCACACCTGACATGGGAAACAGAAGCATGAAGATCCACACCATCAATCAGGCTTTAAAAATCCTCTCTGAAGGGCCAGCAAGTACTGACCACACTGGGCTGAGAAAATTCCCCCAGGCTGTCCCTCCTTACCTGGGAGCCAGAGCAGCAGGAGCCCCAGGAGCTCAGCGGGGACCCTCATGGCCATGTCGTGTCCTGACTGGGACTGACTCCTGCCCGGGGTGAAAGAAGATTAATAAATCTTCAGGACAGAGGGCTGTGAGCTCCAACATGCAAATGAGCAGGGGCTGAGAGGGGCTGGGCCCTGCGGCAGGACTGCCTCATCTTAATAGATCAGGACGGGCCGAGGGACCATGACCCAGGCAGGACCAGCAAGATCAGGATTGCTGCGGAGACTGCTTCTGACAGGAGCCAGCGGGCAGAGGCCAGCACGCAGCAGAGCAAGGTGTGAGGCCCTGCACCCTCCTGGCCCTGTGCTCGCATCTGTCCTGGTTCTCACAGTTCTATGGTGGTGAGCCGTGGGGTGGAACATTGAACAAAGCAGGAGGGCTCAATAGATCGCGACTAAAATGCTAGATGAGAAATGAAAATAAAACATTTCAGTGCCCTTGAAGTGGCTCAGATGTCCCTGATCATTGGCCAGAGGATCCTAAGAAGTTTCTGCAGGACAGAGGAGAGTGTGTCCTCACGCCGTTCTTGCCCAGGCTCTGCAAATACACACAGACGCAAGACGCTGCTGTGTTTTCGGTGAGATCTAAGGACTTCCAAGTTCTTTGCTATTGAATATCTTGTTGAATAATTTACTAGAATTTAGAAGTAGGGGCCAAGTGTGGGACAGACACTAGATCCATGAATAAGCAGTCATCAGAGTGTAGGAGAACTCAGAATTTGGGTAGCATTTTGGCGATGGCAGAAGATTTTCTACATTTTAGGGTTTTAATGTTGGGCCTCTGTCATCAGACGCAATATTTCTTTTTGCCCTAATACCTGGTGTCCTCAGTAGGGTTTCATTATCTCTTAGCATCAAAAGTTAAGTAAGTATTCCTGGGAGAACACTGGGCCAAAGTTATCATTATTCTCTTACTCAGGGGTGCCCAAATCACCCGAGACTGCTGTCCTCGCTCTTCCTCCTCCATTAGTCGTCTTCTCAGCTGCTCCACGTGGCTCAGAGTCCCTCCTTTCCTGCACGCTGGGTAAGGCTCCTGGTCCTTGTCACGTGTGCTGTGTGGTCCCCAATAAACCCAGCGCCCTGGGCCTGC